GATCTGTGGGCGCACAAAAAATGAGCGCGCGAGTGAGTTCTCAAGACTCAAAAGCACGTGCAAATGATACATTCCGTCATCTGTCATCGCGTTATAAGCGCAGAACCTGCAGGAATGAGTACAATTGTTATTAATAGCCGCAAACCCGCAGAAATTCAAGTCCTGCTGTGTTCTCTGCTAATAACCCGACTGTGAATGATGCGAGCGGCGTTATGTTGTCAGTGAGAAGCCGCAGCCGTGGCGGGGATGATTTTTGATGTGCCGGCAGAACAACAATGCGCTACATGTTTCTTTTCCACTCATTTTTTCCAATTGACAGAAATCCGTCGTAGCGACGGAGAACTTTAATCCCTGTGTCATTACAGTACATGTGTGCACAAATCAATGTAATTTATTATTGATATTTTGAATACACTTCTATTTTATATTTAAAGTTTTAGTAATTTTTTGTGCTTTTGTCATTTTTATTAGTTTTGATTTTTATTAGTAAGGGTGTATAGCACAATAATTCTACAATAACAATGTCATCTGTAGAACGAGAGTATGCATTAGAATCTGTATAAGTTTAAGCACTCCTTCGTTCTCTAGCTCTGAACAGCTTGGACGGAGAATTCAAGGGCAAGTACTACCCCCTGAAATCCATGACCGATGCTGAGCAGGAGCAGCTGATCGCTGACCACTTCCTCTTTGACAAACCCATCTCCCCCCTGCTGTTGGCTGCTGGTATGGCCCGCGACTGGCCCGATGCCAGAGGCATTTGGTGAGTCAAATCATAATTATGAATTGCCGTCTCATTTCAAAGGCTGCACCCTTTTATAGCTGTATCACATTTGTCAGTCACATACGTCATCAAGGTTGTCTCATTTCAGGAAAGTAAACATTATATGCCTAGTGAAGAGTAAATTACTGTAATTTCTTTTCTAATTTGGAATGTAATGGTCACTTTCTGATTTTTTTTTTTTTTACTTTTATGAAACGTTACTTTTCCAACAAATGAGTGAGAGACATACCAAATGACTGAACAAAGATGATATAGGCTATAATTAATCGACACTGCACAAGCAAGAGTGCTGTTGTTCTGATTACCCACGTGAATAGCCACACCAGTTGCACAATGGCGAGTGTAATATCAACATTATATTAAAAATAAGTTAATATTGAGTAACTCACATTTAAGACAATATTGCCAGTGACTTAGTTTTTGTTGAGTAAAAGAAACCACGTTCTTTGTCTCCGAGCAGCATACAGTAGTGTTTAGTTCCTGAATGAGTCAGTGTTTTTGAATGAATTGTTTGAGTGAATGAGTCAGTGACTTACTCATGAAGACAGACACTTGCTGCCACCTACTGGTGAAACCTGCATAAAGTGCAAACAAAGACGAGCAGATTGCGATACAATGAAAAGTTTCGGTGTGTTGCGTGAGGGAGATTGAACCTATAGAATATAGAAGATAGGTGTGATATAAATTAGGTTTTGAATTGTAAATAAATTGTGGTGCAGTGGTTTAAGTAAGGCCTATGCTTTAAATACAGGCACAATGAGAACAAGACCTTCCTGGTCTGGGTGAATGAGGAGGATCACCTGCGTGTCATTGCCATGCAGAAGGGTGGCAACATGAAGGAAGTGTTCAAGCGCTTCTGCGTTGGTCTTCAGAGGGTATGGAGAACCTGTACACATAAATGCACATACATAGTCCTCTGTTTTTGACCGCAGTGTGTGAGCATGTGTATGTTCTGCTTCAACAGATTGAGGAGATTTTCAAGAAGCACAACCATGGATTCATGTGGAACGAGCATCTTGGTTTCGTTCTGACCTGCCCCTCCAACTTGGGCACAGGCCTGCGTGGTGGTGTCCACGTCAAGCTGCCCAAGCTGAGCACACATGCCAAGTTTGAGGAGATCCTGACCAGACTGCGCCTGCAGAAGCGTGGCACAGGTATACAAACCCTGCCTGAACACACTGTACAAATGTTAATTGATGATATGAACGTCATTAAGATGTGGTATAGTTAACATCTGCTCCATTTGTTGACCTCCATCCTCATTTATTTTCTCAGGTGGTGTGGACACCGCTTCCGTTGGTGGAGTGTTTGACATTTCCAACGCTGACCGTATTGGCTCTTCAGAGGTTGATCAAGTGCAGTGTGTAGTTGATGGTGTCAAGCTGATGGTTGAGATGGAGAAGAAGCTGGAGAAGGGCGAGTCCATCGACAGCATGATCCCTGCCCAGAAGTAAAGCGGGAGCCGTTCCTTTTTTTTCCTCGTCTTTGTCTTTTTTTTTTACAGTCCATCGTGCAATCTGACATCAATGCAGAGGAAACTGCTGCTCAAAAAGACAGTCTTGCCTTTGCATCTGTCTTGCTTTCCTTTTTTCCCTTCTTCTTTATTTTCCATGTCATTTCGCCATCACTTTTTTCCACTTTTCTGTTCAGTTGGTAACATCTTGGGATCAGATTCCCGGCGCAGGTGTGAGCGCCTGTCGTCGAGGCTTCACATTAATTTCAGTCTTGGTTGTAACAAGTGGATCAATCAAGTTGTATTTAAATAAAAATACCCCATAAAACATAAACATGTCTTCCTATTTTTTCAAATTATATATATTATATACATTTATAAATGTGTGTGTGTGTATACACATACGTATATATATAAACTATTCATTTTGTAATGAGTTTATTTGTTCAAAGTTTAGATGAAACAGTTAATTAATAATTGAACATATATTATGATTAAAAAAAAACATAAATTATGTTCTTTATCTTTCCAACCAGGCAACAACTAGAGGGGTAGAATTTTGCACACCATGACATTCCCATACATCTGGATAAAAATTACGCAATAATCAAACACAAGCAAAGATGCCAACATCAGTGAAGTTTATTTCTCTCAAGATCTTTTGTTTCCATTTTTAATATTTGGCCAGAGGTGCAAACACCTCTGGGGAAAAAATGACTTTCTGCAAACAGCATCAAGGTTTGAATCTCCCTGTCTCTTTCTTGCTCACTCTCATATATATATATATATATATGTAGTTTGTCAGCCTGACTTCTCTCTTTTCATATTGCATATTAGCTAAATGCATCATGAGAAACCCAATGTCATAGCAGACAGTTTACGTCACAGACAGCACAACACTGAACTGGAGGGATTTACCATTCAGATGTGACGCGCCCGGCTCGCGATTCTCTCTAATACTCTGCTTTTTTAATGCCTTGGACATTAAAAAAAGCTCATTCATACCGACACACTTTCACTCCAGGTCAAGTATGGCTGCCAGAGCAAAAGTCTGCCCTAATGCTCTCACACAAACAAACATTTCCTACCAGCAAAGAGAGGGAGGCAGGGCAACAGAGTAGCGCAGTACACAGACGCACACATTCACACATACATGCACACGCATACACACTCTCTCTCCCTCGAATTCTTTTGCTTTTGCCCGTCCTGTTATTTCACATTTGTCTTCTCTCTTTCTCCATCCTTGCTCTGAATCATGCAGGATTGCAGGTTAGTGTTTCACTTCAGCACACATAGAAACATCTGGAGAGCTAGCAGAGGGTCTCTGCTCTAGCTATGATTTAACCTGGAGTTCTAAGATACTGTATATACTATACTCACAATATTATCATCAGTATCATAATCTTTATATACAGCCAGAGTCTGACTGATATAAACCATGATTTTTTTTTTCTCCCAAGATAATTATTCTAGAAAATAAATTAAGTACCTGTGCAAATATACACAAATTGAAGTGTTCACATTTAAGACATTGGCTCCTTCCGGTGGCCAAACATGGGTACAAACCCACAGAGCCATAGGATGCAGCTGATTCAAGTCAACATGAGTGCACAGAGGTCTTAATGGACATCGAACAGATACAGATCTCAGCAGTCCAAACCAGATAGAGCCGGTCTGATGTGGAGACCGGTTCAGACTGGTCCAGGATGTCCAGTCCTTACCCTGTTCAGTTTGAAACAGGAAGCATCTCCACAAGAGGAGTCCAGTCACAGAGCAGACAGAACAATGACACAAGGATTTCCAGTGATTCGGCAATCGGATGAGGAGAAACTGGGTGTGTCTGCGAATGTGTGGCACAAAGGCAGAGAATAAAGTGAATGAGACAACAAAAAAGTGGATGGGTAAAGAGATGGCAGACTTGTAATCTGGGGGCTCACTGTGTGGCTAAAGGTCAAAGGTGACGTGCCCCAGTGATTCCTGTGGAGTCAGTCATCACAAGTAAACTTTCAAGCATTTCGAAGTATTTGACCTACTTGCTGCAGACAATCAAAATCAAGAACCAAACTTGTTTTCTGTACGATAATCCGACACCCTCTCATGAACGGAGGGAGATGCCATCACAAACATGGAGAAAGTGGAATATAATCCTTTAGTATTTACTATATATTTCACACATGATAGCACAATGACTCCCCAATCAAAACTTAACAGACCAGCCCTATTAAACCAACCTGTTTATTCAAACTGAACTAGCAAGAAGTGTCCTATACACCTTCCTGACTGAAAAAAAAAAACTCATTACTCAAATCCATGTATCTGCTCAGTATCTCACTGTCTACAAGCTGGCAGCACCAACAGGGCAAAAGCATGGCTTTACATTAAGATAGAAACAACTTCTAAACCTGACAGTAACATCTATTGCTATTGCACAATTATCACCACTCACAGTTACATTTTGATCCACTCGCTTGTGAATTGCTGTTTATTTTATGCTTGCCAAATTGACAACTATTGCAAAGTTAGGATTTGTTATACAACAAATGACCAGAACTGGTTTGGTCAAAAAGCAAGCCAAGAGTATTATTTGAATAAAGAACAGAAAAGCTCCAAACAAACCTATTTCTACTCATGAAAAATAATCTTAAGCAGCGTATTTCTTTTATTCAGGTGTCAAACCTGCATATGAAATCCCTGTCAAGTCGATAATAACATGCTTCCACATCTGTTAAAGAGACAAACTCGCATATGGCTAAAAACCATCATGAGCTACAGCAAAAACATGGCCTGTCCATGACACTATGTCTATGGTCCAATCTTAAACTGCAACTCTATTTATGTTACACAGCATTATTAAGACTTTGCAATGGAAACAGTCATACATAATGCTATTTTATCATAAGACTGCAAGTGCAACTGACTTTGAATCAAAAAACAACTCTTTTCAAAACCCTGTTGGTGCATTTGCCCCTAAAATATATTCTAGCAGTAAGAGCACTGAACTTCTTCCTGCACTCCTACATGATAACATCCTGCATTTTAGATATCTGGTGATTTTTAAGTAAACATACAATAACATACATGTGCTACTGAATGTGACTCTATGGCATAATGCTGGCAATTACTAAGCCACAACATACTTTGCAATGCCAACACCATCTCTGAATTTGATATTTACTTATCTGCTCGTTTTTAATACTGGAGGTGGATAGAATCAATTTTAAATTTTTTTTTTTTTGTTTGATAATTAAATAATATCCAATATGATCCCATATCCAATAGGTCATTTTTCCAAATTATTCAGATATCTACAATGCAAGAAACGTGTCTTTAATAACACTGAACACTAAAACAATCTCTCTTTGTAAAATCACTTTTGTGGTAACCTCAACTCCACTCTGACCAGGCAAAGGGAGAGGTGACTCTATTTGCAAAGGATCACTGAATAGGAGTTGAAAAAAAGGATTAATATCTAGAACCAACCAATCACAGAGCCTGTTCGCGAGGGGTCAGGGAAAGTAATTTGGCATTAAATGTCTCTTCTAAATTAAAATTGGTAGGAAGCAAGTAAACTGGCACTATACATCAGAAAAACTGATTTTCTAGGCAACAAAATTTAGCTTGGACAATCTCAAAAACAAAGTGTGGATGGTTGGCTTGAAGCCTGATCAAATTTGCAGTTGCCAGCGATGTAGATTTGGTTGCGCACCGTAAGCTATGATGAAGTTAGGATAAACTTGCCAACTTCACATTTGTGCATATAGTTCATTGGCAGCTACAGTCCTACATTGTCAATGACTCAGTATTAAGAAATGTAAGACACATTAAATCACAAAAACATAAAAATGATGACCCGTTTAAAATGTCAAGACTTGTTGAAAACATACAAAAGTGGTTAAAAAAAAGAATGACATCAATTATTTAAGTAAGAATTTCATGACTAGAATGAGAATAAAAATACTAAACTGGATTCAATCCAGATCCAGTGAATGAGGCTTTTCAGAGTGTGTGTGAATCCATGTTAAGAAGCGCTCAGGTTTATGCTGTGCATGGAAGGGGTGTGCTTGTTTTTGTACTTTAGGTTTCCATATTGTCAGGTTGAGTGTCCCGTGCTTTTAAGGTGACTGTGTTTGTTTATGTGTATGTGTGTTTAGTTTCGGTGTGTGTTGAGTGTTGACTGGAGGAGGGATCAGATGTTTTAAGTCTATAACACATAGGTGGGTGGGTCAACGTCAGTTCGCTATAATGACGGATATAGTTAGGGGACGTCTCCCGAGTCAAGTCCCCTCCCCATCCCCTCAGAGCTCCACCTCTTTAGAGATCTGCGATGCGATGTGCCTGAAGGCGAGGGGGGCCCCCCACAGGCACGTGTAGCGTACTCCGTTTGCCTCTGCGGGACCCACACTCAGTTGGCACACCTCAGCTTGGAAAGTGACTTTTGACCCTGCCGCCCCATGACTGCAGCACAACAGAAACGGGCCAGCGTGCCGGACCTGGCAGCCGCATCCCCTCGCCGCCTCACGCAAGGCCAGTACCACTTCTGCAGGGGCCCGGGGGGGACGGGAGAGATGACTCCTTACATCCCACCCCCCTCCCCCGCTCCAGGGCTTGGGCGCTTTCTGATTCCCAGATAAATGGCCACTGGGAAAGAAAAAGAAACAGAGTATGAAGAGAAACACCAGCACTGACAAAGATTTACAAAAAACTATTTTTTTTTAGATTCACATATTCAGAAAGCAAACACTGCTTTTACTCTAATTTTTTTTATTAAAATGTATCATGTCATTATTTTTATTACTATTGATTATTATTATTACTTATTTCTATTCTTTTTATGTTAAATAGGCAGATCATTTTTTCCTTCACTTCATGTGTGTATTGATGCTTTTGGCAAAATTTAATGTGAAAATTATGCTAATTAAATCTTTGAAAGAAAATGAAAAAAGATACTACAAAAAATAAAGTTAGAAGATGTAGAAAAAGAACGCATCTTTTCTGTATTATCAACTGTACTCATACTGAAGTTTATCAATGCACTGCATTGTCAGCTCAAACTCAGCTTCAGTTTTTCCACAGCTCAATTTGATATTCTTCTATCATTGTAATCTGTTGATAAAGTCCGTAAAGTTGTCCATGAAATCAAGTTCATCCATCCATCAATTTTGTAAATTCATCTTACAGATCTTATTGTGACCAATTCATTAATGCGTTTCATTTTTAAAAATAAATTGCCTTGTAATGTTTAATCAAAATGTCATAACATGATCTTCCAGTTGCTTGGCCCAAACCAGTTTTAAAAGCACCATAATGTTAAAAGTTTCCTAAGCGGACTCACCCTGTGACCGAAGATCTGCTGACTCCCTCAGATTCATTTGTGACCCTGCAAAGAAACACACATTTTCAGATGGTCTGCATTACCCTAACAGTGTCTGCTCCATGCAACACAACTCCACCATAACCAACAAAAAATACAAACATACATATCTGGATCTCTCAGTCCTGTCCAACTGCTAGCAGGTCAATATAACTGGCTGACCGATTTTGACCTGAGCGATGTGTAATGGGTCATATAGAATTAAAAAAATTATATGTGTGTTCCTGGATGCATGCAAACCGATAAGAGACAAAACCTCCATGCACCATCATCCAGCCTTTCCTCAACCTCACATCCTGTTTACCAGACACACGTTCTGCAAAGGAGACTGCATGCAGACAGGCATGCCATGTGCAGAGACAGACGGACGTGCAGCGGCAACAGACAGGCAAACAGAGGCAGACAGGGGAACTTACTAACTGTTTTGGATCCCTGTGGAAGAGTACAACCCGACACTGATTTATTAGAGCCCTGGCGTTTAGAGGGGTCAAGATTGACCCTAGGAGAGAGAGAGACACAATGAGGAGAGCAAGAGCAAGAGCAAGAAGAGATGCAGAAAGTCAAAGAAGGATTGAGTGATAGTGAGAACAAATGCAATTGAGAGAAATAAGAGCAAAGAGGGAGAGACTAGGAAAGGTACACATTCGTATGCTTGAAAAAGAGAGGCAATAAGCCAAGGAAAGATGAATGTGTGAAGCGTGATTGTAAAACCAACTTTTAGGCTGAAAGAATTCCCCAGTGGGACCCGTGTGTTATTGCACAGGCAGCACTTCGGCATGTTTTTTTTATTTTTTAAATGCATCATCAGTGGATGTTTTTACTTATATGATGAGAGTCTCTCCTCTTACCTGCGTGTGAGTTTGGAGGTGAGTTTGCTGAACAGGTTAGAAGTGGCCCGGCTGCGGACATTCGGCGGCAGTGCTCCAGCATCATGGCTGAGGGTGGGCGATGTGGGCGGAGGTCCATAGGTGGGCGGGACACGGTCACGGAGCTGACCCCCATGGAAGGTGCTCCGGATGGTGGATCCACGTGTCAGCCTACAGCGCTCACCTGAGGAAGAAGAGGAGGATGCTCCCGCTCCGACAATACTAAGAGTGGAGGGAGAGGTGGGAGGGAGGCGGTGAGACAGGGAGCTGAGGAGAGACAGAAACAGACTCAGTGAATGAGAGGCAGACAGTGCACAGGGATATGCAGCACAGTGATAGAGCATGTCTGTGTTTGTGAATGCATGCGTTTGTCACCTGTTGTCTTTGCCGTTCTGCAGCAGCGAGTGTCGATCAGTGCTGGAACGATCTGTACATACGTACGTGTTTCTGCGGGTCATTGTACTTCCTGGGATATTGTTCTACAACAAAAATGGGACACAACATGTCATTATCCCCCCCAAAATTTTAGTATGTACACATGCATATGCACACTATATTACCAAAAGTATCGGGACACCACCTTCTAATGAACTGGTTTGACTACTTTAGTCATTTCTGCGAGTACAAATCTCCAATTCTGTTCAAATTTTATAGCAACAGTTTGGACAGGACATTTTTCTTTTCTAATATGACAGTGCCTATGTGTATAAGGCAAGGCTCAAAAAGAAATGACTGATTCAGTCAGTGTGGAACTTCTGCAGAAAGCAAAGTCCTAATCTCAGCTGAACACCTCTAGTGTGACTTTAAATGCAGACCTTGAGCCAAAAACTCATCACCAAACACCAATAACTTTTACATACACTATATGGACAAAAGTATTGGGACACCCCCTTCTTTAGAACAGAAAAAGGCACTTCCAAAACTGTGGCATCAAAGATGGAAACATAATTCATGTATTTAAAAATTGTATTTCCATCTCTGTTTCAACAGTTTTGAAAGTGTCTAAAATGAATGTACCCATGTACAAGTGATTGGTGATGAGTCTTTGGCTCAAGGTCTGCATAAAGTCACACCAGAGGTGTTCAGCTGGGATTAGGACTTGGATTTCTGCAGACCAGTCAAATCCACTTCCACACTATCTGAATCAATCATTTCTTTTTTAACCCTGTCTTATACACAGAGACATTGTCATGTTAGAATAGAAAAGGGTCCTGTCCAAACTGTTGCTATAAAATTAGAAGCACACAATTCCCTTAGAATATAATTATATGCTTAAACATTAAGATTTGTACTAATGGAAATTACTAAAGTAGTCAAACCTGTTCATTACAAAGGGGTGTCCCAATACTTTTGGCAATATAGTGTGTGTGTGTATATATATATATATATACACACATACATAAACACACACACACACACATACAAAACACAAAAATGCACATACAGTAGGGTCTAACTGTCAAAATAATCATAATTAACAGATGTAGGATTAAAAAAAAACTTTAACTTTAATTAAAAAACAATTTATAGAATTTTTATTTGTAGTATTTGGAACTGTGTAACACTTTTTTCTGGATTCTTCGATGAATAGAAAGTTTAAAAGAACAATGCTTATTTGAAATAGTAATATATAATATGTCAAAAGAACAACTCTTATTTGAAATAGTAATATATTATGACTTTACAATCACTTTTGATCAATTTAATGCATCCTTGCTGAATAAAAGTATACTTTTTAAATTAATTTAAAAAATACATATAAGAAAATGAAAAAAAGATCTAGGTAGAGAAACGTCTCTCACAGTGGTGGCGGTCATCTCCTTGCGTCGATCAGGTATCTCAGCCTTATTGGGGTTGTTGGCGGTGCTGACCATTGGACTAGATGGTGGTAGGGTCCGACTGCCCATTACGCTACAGCTGGCCTTCCTTGGCGGCATGCGGCTCTCACGCAGCTCACGGTCTCCGCCACTGGTCGGGCTACGCTTAGGGTGCATCACAGGCATGCTGGGACCACCTGCAGAAGAAACTAATAATTATTATAATCATTCACAATTGAAAGCAAGTTTAAGCTAAAGTGTCTCGTACAGAAGTCGCTGTGCCGTCGCTGGCGGTGGTAGGTCGAAGCGCTGCGCTGAGTCTTGCTGTGCGAGGATGAGGAAGATGACGAAGAAGAGGTGTGTTTGTTGGTTCCGTTGGTAATTGGGCTTGGACGCACCCGCGGCAAAGTCATACTGCCACTAACTCGTGACTCAGCACCATCCTATGACCAGATGCCAATAGAGAATATGAGTACAAAGTAAACTCTAAGAGTCTAGGTACAAGTACTATTTTCAAGTAGAAAATTGGTAGTAAAACAGTGTGTGTGTGTGTGTGTGTGTGTGTGCAATGCATTACCTCAGTCTTCAGGCCCAACAATAGATATGTAGCCGTGACTTCATTGTATTTCTGATTGAGTAAAGAGTCTTTAATCTCTTCTGGAGTAAAACCCATTCCGACCATAATCTCTGGAAAGACAAAGAAATGAGAGAACATGAGGAATATTTACCAACACAACCAATCTTTTCATTCTAAGGATAATTTGGACATGACAGTAAAATAAAAATAGTAGCAAAATACATAGTAAAACACAACCAGTTTCCTACCGGTCTACATGCTCACCAATTCGATTGGCATCACTGTAGTCCTCCGCTGGCTCAATGTGGGGCTTTAGCTCATCGGCCTCATACCCTGCATTCATCCACTTATCCTTCATCACTTGCTGTGGAGGAAATACCAGCATCCTGATTACACAGAAACTTCCCAGCTCAGTCATTTAACTGCAGTGGCTTAATAACTCAATTAACACACAAGTAATAGTTTTAGCAATTTCCAGCAAATGCATGCTATATGCATTCTACAGCACAGAAGCTTTACAGAGCTATAACTCAGCACAGTGGCATAATATAATGTATCTGGTACATGATTTGGTATGGCAGAGTGTATCTATGTATCTGCAAGTATGCACCTCTAGAGTGCAACGTTTGCTGGGATTGAGCACAAGAAACCTGCGCAGAATCCCCTCACAGTCTGTGGACATGTAGAAGGGCACACGGTACTTCCCCCTCAACACTCGCTCACGCAGCTCCTGGAAAAAACACATGCACAAGCAAACTGTGTGACAAACAGATATCAGTGTGGTCTTTAGACAGTAAGTTACTACAGAATTAAGAAATGAGAGTTTAAAGAACATTTTAGGTCCAAAGTCAAGACACATTCAATATAATGTAAAAAAATAAAAATTAAAAACGGTGCACTATTCTAAATTAATTTCCCTCAATGTACACTACTGTTTAAAAGTTTTGGGTCAGTAAGATTTTATTTGTTAAAACATTTAAAAATTACTTTCAATATTTAGCAGGGGTGCATCAAACCGCAAGACTTTTACATTGTTACAAAAAATAAAATGCTGTTTGTTTGAACATTTTTATTCATAAAAGAATAATAAGAAGAAATGTTTCTTTAGCACCAAATCAGCATATTAGAACAATTTCTGAAGGATCATGTAACACTGAAGACTGGAGAAATGGTTGCTGAAATTCAGCTTTGCCAGCACAGGAATAAATTTCATTAAAAAAAAATATTTCAATTAAAAAAACACTATTGGAAGAAAACTGAACTGAACTGATCTGAACTGAGCTGGATGATGACATCACTGTGTTCTACAGAGCTGCTTTATAGATTAATTGAACTCATTCCATAATTGATGAACTCCACACAGCCATTAAACTAAATAAACAATGAATTGATTTTTACTGAAAAATGGACTGTTTACTATTGTCCTCTCTTTAGAGCTGTTTTACAGCAGACCTGAATTTTGTTTGCATCATTGAAACATTATTTTCATGGTAAAGCTGCTTTGACACAATCTGTATTGCATAAAGAACTATATATAAGAAATTTACTTGACTTGTATTTTGTAGTAAATACCAAAGTAACTGGTATCAGTTTATCAACTCAATATCACAATCAGAGAATATTGCAATAAGACACTGTATTGATTCTTTCCCAGACTCCAGTAAGTAGGGTGTAAAGAGGCTGGAATGGATCATAGTGGGTGTAGAAACAGAGTAACTGTACCTTGAGGTTCTGTCCATCAAAAGGAAGTGACCCGCTGACCAGCGTGTACAGGATGACCCCCAGGCTCCAGATGTCCACCTCTGGCCCGTCATACTTTTTTCCTTGAAACAACTCTGGAGCTGCGTAAGGTGGGGAACCGCAGAAGGTGTCCAACTTATTCCCCAATGTAAATTCGTTACTAAAACCAAAGTCTGCTATCTTTATGTTAGCATCTGCATCCAATAGCAAATTCTCTGCCTATAAAGACAGAAATAGTAAAGGAGAGAGAAATTATTAGGCTGTACAGAACAGTGTGAAGGAGAGGAAAAACAAGGAGAAAAAACAAGACAGAAAGAGATACAAACACACACTACAAACACTTAATACTCCTTTATACTTTTATAGTAGTGATTGTATAGTGCAATATATATATATATATATATATTGAAAAAAAAATGTTTCTGAAAGTAATTTTCAGATGCAACGGGGAAAAAAATGGGATAAACACAAACATGAAACTTGTAAATAAAATAATCTGATATATAGCCTATGTACAATTTAATAACATATAGCCTTGTTTGATAGGCCTATATGAATTGGGTGTTCGTCAAAGATTGCATGCGGGTCGGAGATTCCCGTGTTTACAGCTCCGTAAAATAACCTACTAAGCTCTGTAGTTTTGCTATATAGGCCTATAGATAAAAATATTAAAATTACAAACACACAATAACATTTTAAGTTACTTCCATTTCTGAAAAAAAGAATGTAGGCCTAGTAATTGATGTTATAAATACACACGCCTGATTTTTGTTTTAATTATCCATCGTACATAAAATAAAAAAAAACATTTGCAATCAAGACTGAAAAAAGCCAGAAGTGAATATAAACCAGATTTGGCCCAGACTCTGTTGCTATCTGTGAAGCCAAGCATAAGAATAGCCTACTAATGTAAATTTGTTAACCCACAGTAACAAATTTTAACAGATTAATCGCATATTTTCGTTTGCTGCATGCTTTTAAAAACACAATAAAAAAAAAATTTTTTTTTTTGAGGAAAATAAAAAAAAAGATACGTCTCGTATAAGTTGCATTTTCAGAAATAATAACGGCAGGCCTAATAATGTTATAATGTACCAACATTATGAACACTATAGGATATTTTAGTTCCCCTCACTTTACAACAAATCCTTTAAATTTAACCGTATAAGAACAGAATAAGAATTTTAAAATATATAATTCTAATGGATAAATATAATTGCAGTATATAATAATATATGCTTAGCAATAAACATGCCAAAACAAATTAATTTATAAAGAAACGTAAGGTAAAGTTGGGCTTACCTCTCTCAGGCACAAATCCAAATGTGTCCATATTCGAGATGTAGCTGAAGCTAAACTATTAGCCTTATTAGGTAAAATAGGCTTTGTAGTTCACGCGCGTTCCAGTATCGACGGAAAAATATCATAATGAGCAAAAATATGACACAGTGGACCGGGTCTCACGCGGAACGGCACGGTGAACGGCTGCGCTGTTTCCAATGAACGCAGCAGCTTAGTGTGCGCGTGAGGCGCTGGCGCGATCAAACAGCTGAAACATAAAATAGACTACTCCGTAATTTTTGGTCATACAGTAAAGGCATAATTCGAAACTGCAAAGTGCAAAGTGTTACCAGTTTGAAAATTCAAGAATAATAGCAAAGTTAATAAGAATTCTTTCTAAATGCAGCACCATTCTTATTTCGCTCTGCATAACCTGAACGAAAAAAAAAAATGTTTTTGCTAAGAAGGAACCGAAATGAAAACATTTCGCTTTTAATCTGTGTATTTAACAGCCTGGGAGACCTTCCCAGGGCAGTACCTTGCCTCACCGACTAAAATCAGGGTGCCCACTACGGAGACGGCACCAGAGGTGAGGGGGCACAGTGACCGAGGTGGCCGGGCCGGGCCCCCTCGGGCCCCCTCAGGCCCCCCCGTGGCGCCGACGCTGTTATATACATACATACATACATACATATATATATATACTGTATATATTGCACTATACAATCAATAAACTATAAAATTAGCATAGATATAAATATAAATATATATATACATATCTATACAAAATCCGCTCAACCAATCACAGCGCACCATTCCACGCACTCTAGACAGTAATGGCGGCGCTTGAATACACCCGGCTTCCTAGTTTTCCTAATTTATTTTGTACTTTGTGATCAAAAAACAAACTTAGGGCTGCACGATCTCGTCAGTAAAGCCGGTTCTGTGAACAGTAAATCTCCATCACGTGCTTTCAGATGGAGACCAAACTCTTCATATATATATATATATATGTGTGTGTGTGTGTGTGTGTGTGTGTGTTCATATATTTAGCAGTTTTGTATATTTAAAACCAGATTAATTTAGTTGAGTATCAAAACTGCATAAGATAAGAAGGTTTAATGGGGTTTGAAAAATCTGTATAATTCAAGATACATTTCCTTATGCAGTTTTGCCTCTCATGTGGATTTATATTGTGTTTATTTTTTGCAGATTCTAGCTCATACCTTCAGATCTCTGTGAACTATATTCTTCTGATGACAGTAATGAACGGCTGACACAATCTGAAACAAAACGAAAAATAACACAACCTAGTTAAAACACATGAACGCTGAAACTGTAAACCTGAGGCTTAATGTGATGCAATACCTTGATCTTTAATCCTGCACTCTGTGCTGTAGCGATAATGTAAATGTCTCACCTGTCTGAATTTGGCTCTAGCCTCTATTTCTTTCATTCTCCCATGAGACACCAGGTAATCAAACACCTCACCTGGAAAACCAAATCGCACATGAATAATATCCCAAATATCACAGATGTACCTAGAAATATTATGTTGAGCATCAAGTCTTTTTGCATTATGTTGCAGCTCTGGAGAGACACACATTACACTAATATACACCGTATAGTGAACACACACATCCCTTCCAAGGCCACACCAGTATTAAACAAAGTCATATTACATACTCCAGTAAGTACAGTACATTAGAGCTCACCTCCACTTGCATATTCCATCACAAGATAAAGCGTCTTCTCTGTTTCAATAACCTCAAAGAGTTGGACTGTAATATATGAGTAGCTGGCATTTAATACTTTTGGCAAGCTTACATTTAAACAGAATTAGATAATTATTTTGTAATGTAATTATTATAAAAGCAAGCATGCATTTATTGCATTTTAGTGCATCTTACCAATGTTGGGGTGATGGAGAGTCTTCATGATCCGCACCTCTCTAAACAGCTACAAAAGAAGAGAGAAAGAAAGAAAAAGAGGGTAATGCTCTCTCCATCTGTACAAAGTACCCAATATACAATCCCTGTTGCTGTGGAAACCCCATGATGGAGTCTTGCACCTGCATCTGTCCCATAATACATCTCACAGGCATGTGTTCAGAAGAAATGCCTTTAATACACCCCTCATTTCTTTAATTCACATTATCAGATGATATACTGTATATACAATTACACATGAAGGGACACCCACAATGTTGAAAACATAAAGATTAAATCAACTCAATATGTCTTCTAGTCAATACAGATGTCTCATCAAACGTTTGCCGGGAACTCGTTCAGCAAATCCTGTCAATCATAACAAGAATATATGAGCAGCTGTTTTCCTCACCCATGTGGGTTACCGAGGCTTGTCGATTCATATGTCAATCACATTACATTTCTCTTTTTTTAATCACATTGTCTCAACCTCTCATAATGACTAATCCCAATATTTTGCTCATTGAAAAACTGCTAATTGTCAGTTTAAAGTTTAAAGAAATGGAAATCTTCCCTATACATTTTTAAATCATGTAATTGACCTTACTGTAAATGATTCATCCATGCATATGTTTTTTTTAACCTTGTCATTTATAATCAAAATATCATAACTTGATCTAAGGGTGATACGAGAGACTTCTCTCTGGTGACGTATGTTGAACTTCTTAAACACCACTAATTTCTTACAACTGCGAGCTCGCAATCAGATCTGCCTCCATTCTTTGAAAAACAGACATATAGGACAAAGTCCCTGTCTTAATTGTTTTCTTTTTGGTATTCTTTATGACTTTAAGTAGAGTCAACATGTTTACAATTGTGTGTGTTGTTGACATAAGAGCTCAGAAATGTTTGAATAAACTGCTACAACATGCAAATCAGAAGACCAGAAGAAAATCCCTCAGAACCATCAGAAAAGAGATATTGCTGACACAGCCACAGAAAATAATGCTATGAACCATGTTACATGTAGACATACTTAATTTTTTCAATTTATTTTATATCACCTATATAGTAAAGCATAGGAGTTATCATCTAGCAAACATGACATGGGACAAAACTCTTTTCTCTATGTGCAACACAAAAAAAAGAGAGATAAGACAAACACTTACTCTGACAACTGACAAATGAACCACAAAACAGTGATTCCAGCATTACAATAACAGCTCGTATCAGCCATATGAGTGATCAAGAAACCATACGTGACTTATGTTCAATAAGGGTGGTTTATGGTTTGTGTACAGTTAACTGTGTGTGTGTTACAGAGCCGGGATTGAATCACAGTGGGGCATTCTGGGCATGTGGAGAACCGCAGCTGTCGACCTCTCCTCTCCAACACACACACTAAGCACACAAACAAAGGTCCCACTTTATATTAGGTGGCCTTAACTACTATGGACTTACATTTAAATTAATCATTTAATACAATGCAATTATTGCGTACATACATGTTTTTGCATTGTACTTATATTTTTAAAAATACTTGCATGTAAATACATCTGTAACTAATTTCTGTAATTACATTTATAATTACACTTTTGACCCATCCCTTACACCTAAACCCACTCTTAAACCTACCCATACCTCCAAAGCTGTCCCTAACCTTAACCATATCCCACCTCAATAGCTGCAGAAGTGTTTTGCAATACAATATGAACACAATAAGTACATTGTACTTATTTTTTGATGCAAGTACATAGTAGTTAAGGCCACCTAATATAAAGTGGGACCCAAACGAATGATGCATTTTAAAACAAGACTGCCTATGGCCTGATTTAAAAACTAGTTAACTAAACATTGCATTTAAATACAGTAGATATTTAGGGGAAAAAATCAATTACTCACACAGTAATGCCCCCTATGAAAAGACATTGTATATTTCACTGATATCCAATGGTTATGTTACTACATTTCAAATTTTGCACACAAAAGGGCCACTGTTGAGTACATAGTTGTGAGTGCTAAGATTTAATGCAAGATCCATCCAGATGAGTGAACTGATTTCACAAGTGTGTTCAGAAGCCTATCAAGCATAGCTTTGTCAATAATCAATAAATATCTTGATATATGATCAAACTCCGAGCCGTGTTTGAGTGGTGGGCTTCAGTGGGAGGAATGAAGGCCGGTGATAATCTATTATGAGACAGATGAGTCACTGGTGTACAGGAGAGAGCGCAAACTCAACAGCGACACTAAACACTAATATCACACACATATGTGTGTGTGTGTGTGCGTCTGGACACTGGGTGATGTTTATGTAAAATGTCAATTTTTTTCTTTTTCTTTTTTATGCTATGTTAAAATGACATAATTGCATAGCATTGTGACAGTTGTCTTAATAAAGAAAAAAAAATGTCTTGAAAACTGGTCTTACCTTTTGTAGGCTGGTTGGGTTCAACTGAGTTTTGTCGATAATCTTTATTGCAACCTAAATATACAATGTACAATTAGTGATTGAAGCTCCAAACATAAATTTTCTCTTATGCCAGATAGATAGCCCCCCAAAAAACTCTTGATTGTTTGTGATCAAACCTGATACAGTATCATCTGACATTCATTAGCAGATGCTTTTATCAAAAGAAACTTGCTAGACAGGGCAACTAGATTCAAAAATTATTGGTTACAATAAATGGAAATACAGTATATACACTACTGTTCAAAAATATATTTTATCAAAAATACTGAAAAAATTATTATAAAATATTATTACAGTTTAAAATAATCATTGCTGTGATGGCAAAGATGAATTTTAAGCAGCCATTTTTTCCAGTCTTTAGTGATCCTTTAGTAATTATTCTAATATGTTAATTTGGTGCTCAAAGACATTTCTTATTATCAAAGATGTTCAAATCAATGTTGTCAATGTCGAAAACAGTTGTGCTGCTAAATCTTTTTTTTGTGATAAAACTGTGACATTTTTTCAGGATTCTTTAGTGAATAGAAATTTCAAAAGAACAACATTTATTTGAAAGATTTTTTTATTTCTATTATAAATATCTTTAATATCATGTTTGATTAATTTAATGCATCCTTGCTGAATAAAAGTATTACTTGCCTTCAAAAAGAATCCACACTTCTGAACAGTAGTGTATTTGACCCCATTATTAGAATTCACACACACAAAAAAAAACATGAAAATATCATAATAATACAGTATATGAAAACAAATCTGTGTCAGGATGTTAAAAGTACTCCTTGTTTCAGAGTTTTATTTGTTTACAGGAGTGACAACCACATTCAACAGATTAAAAATTTCAGGTAGTGATAACTGAATTTATTCATGAGTAGTGTGCATAGAACCAAACTGTTAATGCAGTGATGTAATTAAAAGTGCATCTAGGTCTCTTTTCTTCTCGTGTGGCGCTAGTCAGAGACAGAGCCATGTGTCTTGACTCATTCGCAAATTCACATGCCAGTCTGTCTCTCTCCAATGTAGCTGCTCCCACCAGCCATGTGGTCTAAAGACAACTCACACTGTACAGTTCAATCAGAGCACATGCTGTTAGTAGCAGCAAAAAGAGCATAAACAAAACACTCTGTTGATGGGTATTTTATTAGAACCTGTTCTTTGGTCAAAAATAGATGGCACAAAACTTTTAGCATCCATGTTACCTATTTATAGCCACAATGACGTTGTGGTTATGTCAACCATCATGAATCTTGGAGTGATGATTGTATTCTGTATACACACACAACCATAATTTATGGGGTTTCCATCTGCATTTAAATGCAGTCGTCACTCCCAAAAGTGTATACGTGGCTCCAGACTACCACACATAAATTCACTATTATTGGTCCAAGAGTATTTAAAATCTCTGTTATGGTATTTAAACATAATTCTAACAAAATCTAGAACTTTAAATATTTTAACACTATGCCAGCATGATTCTTTAAACATCACAATTTATTGTGATTAAGATTATTAAAGCTCTCTGCTGCCCACTAAGAAGTTCATCTAAAATCACACTATATCAGCTTTGGTTTATAAAAAGTAAACGTGGGTGTGGAAATTTTCGCACTTAAGTTGGACCACTTTAAAAATATACCACCCAAAGAATTACAGCTCACAAGTGCTCTGATGAGAATGAGACACAATACAGCAGCTGCTGTACCAACATCTCATCACACGCTTCTGGTTTTACCTATGTAAACGCTCTCTCTCACAGTCTTTCTCTCTCACCTCTTTGCCCGTGAGGGTGTGGCGGGCTAGTTTGACTTTAGCAAAGTTGCCCTTGCCGATGGTTTTAAGGAGCCGGTAGTTTCCAATGTGTGGCAGCTCATCTGAGCAAGAGGCCATTGAGTTACGACATCTCGCACCCAGTGAACGACTCGACACATTCGTCCCTTTCTCTGAACGACTCGCCACCAGAGACGCATGCTGGACAGAGACAGACACAGAGAACATTTAAGATTAATTAAGTTCAATTTGGGGGAAAAAATGGATTAGACTAAAATGGAGAATACATGTTGATGCTGAAGCAACCAGAAGGAAGAAAAACCTGCCTGTTACTCTAGCCAGTCCAAAGGACTAAAGTGATTATCTCATATTTCAGAAATTGCATGTAGAAATAGAAGAGTTAGGAGGGTTAAAGGCACAATATGTAATTTTCGCCGCTAGAGGGCGCATATTCAAAATAAACAAAGAGGCAAAGGTGTAGTTTGATGACACCGTGACTGAGTGTGGAATCATGGGAGTTGTGGTCTTCATCCCCACAGCCGATGCAATCCGACGGGACTCCGGCAGAAATCATGTTCATGGATGAGCTAATGATTTATTTTTATTTATTTTTTTTTTCATTTTAAATCTCTTTATTTAAATTTTCTTGAAACAACACACACAATGTCACAAAATAGCTACTATACAGGAAAAATACGACATCAAGCACCTTTAGCTGTAACACTGTACAATACATGACTTTTGAGCCAAGAACATTAAAGCTGATATTTTATCCTGATGGACGGCAACAACAGCTATCCAAAGAAAAAATGAGCAGGAACAAGAGCATAGTATTGTTTTAGTTGTTCAAAAGAACTAAATGTACCTTCCCTATAAAGATCTTGCATTGTTACTATACCCATATGTTTCCATTGAAAAAAGATCTTATCATGTAACCCCGGAGGAAAAGCATGATTATTACAGATTGGGGTATCCAAATATAAATCTGTAATTTTCAAATATACCTTGATTTGTTTCCATACTTTAATTAGGTTTGAAATAACTATGTTACCATTGATATTTTTGACTTCAATTTGGGTCGTGCGTATGTGGGGTAAAGCAGCGCTGTTTTATCATACTAGATACGTTTGAAAGTTCTGTTATAATGCTACTCTGTGCGGTCGTCACCGGTCTATTAATACGCACAACATATTAAAGCGTCTTTGGTGTTTCCATGTTTTCTACAAAACAAAACCGGAAATCGAGGGGTTATGACGTCATTGGCAGGCGACACAATGACACTATGGACACGGTCCGTGTCACTAGTTAAAATTGCTTATTTCTCTGGATTTAAACATTCTTCGAAACATTTGGGATAATGTAAGTACACAAGTCAGTAAAATATATAACACTGTTCTAGTGGTTTTTGGATATTTTAATACAAAAATCTTACATATTGTGCCTTTAAGAAAGAAACTAAATGAGAGAGTTTCAAGTAGGAAACTCATTTACTGTTTAAGCTCTTACTTTACACACAAAAATCAGTCTACATGTATGTAGATGAGCCACACAACTGTTGTAGCATCTCGCAGTTAGAATTTATTGATTGATTGATTGATTGGTTAAACTGTATTCTGAGCATTTCTAAAAAGAACAATGTTCACTAATGATGCATAAAAATGTTGACAACCGAGAAAAGTTTTGAAGGGCCAAAACAGTTACATTTAATTAACATTTCACCGATGGCATATGTGCAATTTAAGGGTCTAAAATTACGAAGAAATACATAAATGTACGGGGAAATTAAGATAATTCAGCTTGCTTATAATAAACATGAAAACTACATTTTTATTATTGATTGATTGATTGATTGGTTAAACTGTATTCTGAGCATTTCTAAAAAGAACAATGTTCACTAATGATGCATAAAAATGTTGACAACCGAGAAAAGTTTTGAAGGGCCAAAACAGTTACATTTAATTAACATTTCACCGATGGCATATGTGCAATTTAAGGGTCTAAAATTACGAAGAAATACATAAATGTAAGGGGAAATTAAGATAATTCAGCTTGCTTATAATAAACATGAAAACTACATTTTTACCATTAAGATTATTAATGTAATGATGGTAGACGAGAGTGTGCGGGAAAACGGAGGTCAGCATTGGTGTGTGAGTAATTCTGCCCTATAATACAGGATTAACTTACTTTGCCATGGGGGTTTTAGTCTGTCGCCGCTGAAACTAAACTTTCTATTTAGATTAGCACATTTAAACCTGACTGAGCCCTGAACACTCAGGCTAACATCTGGTAAAGTTTCCAAAACAAAAATCAAAACATGCCCAGGTCCCCATCTGCACCGTTGACCACAGGATTACAGCTCAGGGATTGAATAAATTACTCACGATGCCCTGCCCTGCTCCTGCTGGATTCTACAGTACCTCACACACACTATATACAAAATATGCCAAATAGCACATACTGTGCACTAGCTCTCATTCTTATTTAAAAAGAAAGAAAGAAAGAAAGAAAGAAAGAATCATAGATAATTATCATAGTTCTTATGAAAAGCGTCTCTTGGGGAAAATCCAGCCAGGAGAGAGCATAGGTGGGTGTTAAATAATCTTAGTCCAGTTCTGGCTCAACAAGGTACATCATGCATATACATTTGTCACTAAGATGCCTTCATCTAGATGGTTTTTGATGGCATAGATGTATCCTTTTAGATGTATCCCAGAATCCTGTGATTGTTTTGGCAGTTCTAAAGAACAATGGTGTCTGAAGGAATTTTTTTAATTAAAAGACAACACTGATAACAATAGGAAATGTTTCCTGAGCCCCATATCAGCATATTACAATAATTTCTGAAGCATCATGACACTGAAGATTCTGAGGTGGTTGCTGAAAATAAAGCTTTGCAATCACTTAAAAAATAGTTAATTTAAGCTGTAATAATATCACTTTTTTTCTGTATTTTGTTACTGTTTTACTGTATTTTTGATTAAATGCAGCATTTGTAAGCATAAGGGACTTCTTTCAAAAACTTTTTAAAAATCTATATATATAAAGAGAAAGGAATTAATAATTGTATATATTTTCAGGCAGATAAAGTTCAAATGCAAACAAAGCTGCATTATCAGTTCCTAACTAAGACATCAAGAACCAGGTCCATTATATAAAAATTGGTTAGTTTAACACACTCTAATGAATTACATGAAACATTTACCTTGGTGCTAGCGTTCAAATTTATAGTGAGTGATATATTTACTGAGTGTTACCATCAAATGAGTGTTTTTTTAATAAACAATAATTGTTTTAGATTTGGTTTACTAATAAAGCAACAATACATAATAATAATAAAAATAATAATAATAATACATTAGCAAACACAAGTCTAGGTCAGTTCATGAACCACAGTGTAATTTGTTGGCGCAGAACTGGTAGGCCACTACACCAGCCAGTGCGTCTGTTTATGGAGCGCGAACGGCAGATCACAGCTAACGCTAAAAACCCCCTCCGCCCTCCCTAGTTGATTCTGGTGCCCCGGCATAGTTATATTCATTCCCTAATCTGCAGAGACAGAACGTTTCCTAGCTTTTCTCCCGCACATTCTGCCAATGAAGCAAAACCGCTCTCTAGGAGAAGAGCGCGCTGAGAGCGCATGGCGCTAGTGCGCAGATGATGCGCTGATGTGTACACTATGCGGATGGCCTAAGCTCTACTGCCTGCGCGCTTCGCAGCGAATCTTTTGCTGCTTTGCACATTCAAGGATGCGGCCCATTTTGCCAAAGAACCTGCTACGCGTACATGGGCCACTGTATCCTGCCTCTCCATCCTCCCATGAACGATATCAGGCAATGAATGTAGGCTATCAGGCTGCAAAAATGACGGTTCACCTTACGTTAAATACTGGGCGTTGTAGGATATGAGTGGAAACGGGGCGCTGAGATGATATATTACAACAATAATAATTCATTTGAAATGATGATACTTACATGATCTGTGCTCCGGTCGTTCGCAGACGATAAAGCAGACCGAGAGGACATTTTCCCTGAGAATGCACACGATTAAAGAGGAATAACGCGAAAAGTATTTACAGATTTAATCAACGCAGCCCACATCGGCCGTGCTGCTGCAGCTGGGGCCGTGCTTCTCTCACACCGCCTGCTCGGTAAAGCCTGCGTCTGTCATGGCAGCGGCAACAGCAGTCCGCAAATCTCACAGATGTCCTCGAGACAGCTGCATTATTTTTCTGCGATGCAAACCGTGACGATCAAACGAGTCAGTTGACGATGAAAACGCTAGCGCGGCGCTATACAGGTGCTAAAACAGAGCAATGCTTGGCCGGAGCCCAACGATTTTGTAGCGACTCGCTACCCCCCGCCTCATCTCCGCGAGCAAAACAAATACGGCTCCGACAACCCCGTCCTCTTTTCTCATAATAATACCGAGGACCTCTCCGCGCCCCTGTACCGTTCACTCTCGGTCGCGCTCGCTCTCTTCTCGCATCTGTTTGTCATGGGAAAACAGAAGCTTTGGCCGGTGACGAGGCCGAGACCCGTTCACATCCTAAAGCAGCCGTTATATTCCAGCGGCGGATATGTGAGATGCGCCACTGCTGCCTCCTCTAGCGCTCGTCTCAGCACTGACACAGGCGCACGCGCGCGCACTGACGGACAATTTAAAGAGCTCCACACAAGCGGACTGACGGACAGCTTGCACGCGTCAAAACTCAACTCTCAATCACTGCGCTTTTTCATCATAGTCATTTTACTTATTCAGGAGTATTTGAAGGGCTAAAGGGGAAATACCATAACTGCAGTTGTTTTAAGATACCAATGTTCTTAACTGTGAAATTGTCAAATGAAAATACATCACCGAGCGCTTATTTACAATATTTACACAGGCCAGTGGCAAAGGACAATATTATAAACAAACTAGATTATATATCTGACTTCAGATGACTGTACCTAAAACTACCCAAAGCTATAGGCCATACCTTTGAAAACTTGGGATTGGTACGATTTTTAATCATGTTTCTGAAAATTTATTTAGATTAAAACATTAAAGAAAAGTCTGTTGATGGTAACAATGAATATATTTTTCCTCACTGTACATTTTAAACAACTAAGAAAAAATATTTTACGTAATTCATTAGAGTATGTTAAAGTAAATACATTTTATATAAAGGCTCAGGTGGTTGAAGTCTTAGTGAGGATTAATTAATTCAATTAAAATTTATTTATTTATTTCTCCTTTTATATTCACTATACCTTCAAATATTTGGGATTGGTCAGATTTTTTTAATGCTCACCAAGACTGCTTTTATTTGATTAAATACAGAGGGAAAATGTAATATTGTGAAATATTTGACAATTTAAAATAACTTTTATTTCACCCAAAAATGAAAATTCTGTCATCATTTATTCACCCTCAAGTTGTTCCCTTTAAGGATAGATAAGTCCGAACTGATTTATAGTACTATGTCAAACATTTCAGTGAGAACTCAAACAATAGCAGGTCCAGGGAACTATTGTACAGACAACAGTAAAGGAATTTGTGGAAAATATGTCAAAATTTTGTGGCCAGAATTACAATCCATCCAAAAGTTAAAAGTAGTGATTACGTCACAGACATAAAGTGGACTACACAGCTTTGCTCAGGATATCCCATTAACTTGCAATTAAGCATGGACTTAAACATAGCAAACTTTGTCTAGTCCAATGAATTCTTCCTAGAAGCCCTGATTAGTACCTCGTAAACATGACTTTTCCCCAGCATACCTATAAAAACCTGTGAACCTGGAAACTGCGTAAATCCAATCATATGGCCTGGCGATTTGGGAAACCTTTTGCCATTTTTGTGTGCTATATACACCTAACAGTCAGATATGTTACAAAACACTTTCCTTTATGCCATTATGTCCATGTGAAATTAAAGTTATGGCCTTCTTTACCTTATTGTGGCATATTTATGAGTGAAACAAAACATTGAAGAAGACAACAGAGGGCAGGATGATTACAGGACAGTATGAGGAGTAGAAAGCAGACCACAGCTATTACGGAGCACTTGGCACTAGGCAAAAAAGTAGACTTGAAGCATCCTACAACAAAGACGGAAAGAGCAAAGCTTCTTTTGGAAGAATAGCCTTTTTTAAAGATTTTTTAAAGGCGTAATTCACCCAAAAACATTTGCTGAAGATTTACTTACCCTCAGGCCATCCCAAATGTAGATAAGTTTGTTTCTTCATCAAAACAGATTTTGGGAAATTTAGCATTACAATACTTGTTCACCAATGGATCCTTGGCAGTAAATGGGTGCTGTCAGAATAAACAACTGAAAATAATATTCCAATAATCCATTGTAAGCCTGAGAGTGAGTACAATTTCAGCAGACTTTCCATTTTTATGTGAACTATTCTTTTAATCTTTATCAATTCTGTTATATCACATTATTGCAGTCCAGTTCCACTTGCTGCTATTTCCTAAGTTCAAGACACTAAACAGTCTTGAAATCAACAAATCAGCAGCCAAAAGCCTTGCCCTGTTCTACACTCAATGTTTCATCAAGTCATCAAATTTCATCAAATGGGTGTCCTAAGCAGAATTGTATTGTTGTGCCCCTTCCCCAAAATATTATGGAAGTTAAAAAAAAAACACCTACTATAGGGATCAAAACAGAACTTTAATAAAATATAAAAGTAAATAACTAAATTGTAATGAAATTGTATTATTTACAAATTACAATTGAAGCTAGACAGTCACCTATGGCTATGATTTTACTATTA